TCAGATGAGCCAAGTTGATACGTGACGGGGTAGAAATCCTGATCCGTTAAAAGTTCACAGAATCCATCTCCGATGCACAACTATCGTAGCACTAGCTCATCCACACAGACGCACAAAAAGTGCAAATGGCGTTCAAGAGGGATCTTCACGTGAAGCCGTCTAAGGGGATTGGACCCTAAGCTAGACCTGAGTTAGCTGATTGTTTCACTTTACGCATTGATCCTCGACAAACCTTGCTACTTGGCTTGACGTAGCATTTTCTTCAAAGCGGAACGGCGCTCAGCAACAAAACGGTCGGCAGTTTCCAAGTGTTTCCCAAAAAAGGTAACTTTTTAGTTGGTTCCAAGCATTTTCCAACTGATTCTCCACCACTCAAAAATGGATGACTGGTTGTGTCACGCGAAAATAAAATTAGATGCGAAGTGGTATTTGTGAACCAAACCAGGCATTGCTGAAGTAAGAGGCGATTTCGGTCAACCAAGCTGAGGAAACCTTTAGCCATGGTGAAAGGGTATCTCTTTTTCTGTCAGTCTTGAAATCATCTGGCTGTTGTTTACTGCTGAATGAAAAGTTTTCAGGCATTCAGCCATTGCATGGGCAGTCATTCTTACACAAGTTAGAGGCTACAATAATTCTGACATGTACGTGCTGAAATCGGTGACCTTAATGGGTAATCTCTGATAGTAAAACAGCAGTCTCCATAATGGCTTTTATCGCAAGGTCGAGGGTTTGGTGCCTCCTTATGCTAGGACGACTTCTTTTGAGAAATGCGTAAATTGAGCTGATGGGTATGTAAAACAACATGGACTTTAGCGAATATACACTCATTTGCAAACTAATTTGATTTTTCGAGCGACTCACCTAGAACCCAGCTGAATCTCTCGTTTGTGATGTCTTCAGGCAACTGAACGTGCTGCATCCGACAGCCTCATGTTTCAGTCGCTACGATATTTGAGATATCGCGATACGTGTATATCTTTGTAATCTACTACTCATAAGGTTGCTGAAAACACCGACAGCACACGACCGGTTTTGCTCTTTTTGAGGCTCATCAGGTGAGCGCAGTCCCCGTGTTTCTGTCTACTTTATGTTATACTTGAAACCAAATTGCAAGCCAAAATTACAAAGATATACACGTATCGCGATATCTCAAATATCAAAGCGAGCGACACATGAGGGCGGCCTGGTGCAGCACATTCAGTTGCCCGAGAACATCACGAACGAGAGATTCACTTGGGTTCCAGGCGAGTCTCTCGGAAAGCCAAATTAGTTTGCAAATGAGTGTATATTCGCTAATTTCGTGCAATTTAGTTTCAAGCAGAACGTAAGGTTGACGGAAATAGGGGGACTGCTCTTACCTAATGAGCCCCAGAAAGGGCAAAACCGATCTTGCGCTCTCGACGGATTTTCAACAACCCTATGAGTAGCACATTAGAAAGATAAACATGAACTTCAGTATAAATGTGTTAATGTGTAGATGGTGACGGTCGGGTCCAAAGCTTTTATTAGTTTTCCCAAAAGCAAATGTTGGTAGCACTGACGAGCTGTTGGCGATGATCGCTTTATTGCTTTTTTGCCAAGTTATTTAGCAGTAGAACTTCACAACAGTAGCAGGAGTAAACTGAGTATTTCGTAACTGGTAATTTTCGGATGGGTGTCTCAGATGAAATTAAAATATTTTCAACGCCATAGAATCTGTTCAACTTGAAAATGGTCCCTTAAAGGCTAACATTGAGAATATGCAGCACTACTGCCGATATGTTGACGACGTCTTCGCCGTTGTTAACAACAAAGACGAATTGGAATCACTCCAACAAGAGTTCAATAAGGCTCACACTGCCATTCAGTTCAGCTCGGAAGGAAAAACCAACAACTTCTTCCACTTCCTAGATGTTGGCCTTGAACGACGTCACGATGGTACACTGAAACGATCGCTGTACCGAAAACCTACTTGGTCAGGTCAATATATCAACTTTAGCAGCTTCCTGCCACTAAAGCAGAAACGGAACATGATCCACAGCCTAACCAACAGAGCGAAGAAAATATGCCCTGAGGATGCACTGGAACGAGAATTCCAAACTCTCAACAACATCCTCAGAGACAACAGATTCCCCGACAAATTTGTTACAAAATATTTGAACAGGAAAGAAGCAAACACCATCACAGCCACAGCTGGAAGGAAACCAGTTTACATTAGCCTCCTGTTTAAGAGACATACACCGGCCGATCTACTGAACAGAAGACTTTCCACCAGTCTGAACAAAGTTTTCCCGGCGGCAAAACTAGGCGAGTCTCTCGGAAAGCCAAATTAGTTTGCAAATGAGTGTATATTCGCTAATTTCGTGCAATTTAGTTTCAAGCAGAACGTAAGGTTGACGGAAATAGGGGGACTGCTCTTACCTAATGAGCCCCAGAAAGGGCAAAACCGATCTTGCGCTCTCGACGGATTTTCAACAACCCTATGAGTAGCACATTAGAAAGATAAACATGAACTTCAGTATAAATGTGTTAATGTGTAGATGGTGACGGTCGGGTCCAAAGCTTTTATTAGTTTTCCCAAAAGCAAATGTTGGTAGCACTGACGAGCTGTTGGCGATGATCGCTTTATTGCTTTTTTGCCAAGTTATTTAGCAGTAGAACTTCACAACAGTAGCAGGAGTAAACTGAGTATTTCGTAACTGGTAATTTTCGGATGGGTGTCTCAGATGAAATTAAAATATTTTCAACGCCATAGAATCTGTTCAACTTGAAAATGGTCCCTTAAAGGCTAACATTGAGAATATGCAACACTACTGCCGATATGTTGACGACGTCTTCGCGGTTGTTAACAACAAAGACGAATTGGAATCACTCCAACAAGAGTTCAATAAGGCTCACACTGCCATTCAATTCAGCTCGGAAGGAAAAACCAACAACTTCTTCCACTTCCTAGATGTTGGCCTTGAACGACGTCACGATGGTACACTGAAACGATCGCTGTACCGAAAACCTACTTGGTCAGGTCAATATATCAACTTTAGCAGCTTCCTGCCACTAAAGCAGAAACGGAACATGATCCACAGCCTAACCAACAGAGCGAAGAAAATATGCCCTGAGGATGCACTGGAACGAGAATTCCAAACTCTCACCAACATCCTCAGAGACAACAGATTCCCCGACAAATTTGTTACAAAATATTTGAACAGGAAAGAAGCAAACACCATCACAGCCACAGCTGGAAGGAAACCAGTTTACATTAGCCTCCTGTTTAAGGGACATACACCGGCCGATCTACTGAACAGAAGACTTTCCACCAGTCTGAACAAAGTTTTCCCGGCGGCAAAACTGTGAACCGGGTTCACCAGCGATCGTTTCTGCCCCTTTAATCTCAAGGATAGAGTGCCTGTCCACGCCCAAAATATGTTAGTTTACTCATTCTCTTGCTGCTGTGCAGCGGAATAGATCGGACGCACGACTAGGCAACTGGGCCAAAGAATGAAGGAACACAACCCACCCTAGCTAGCTTCTGGAACTAGGAGGACGATAACCAGCTACGTAGTACAACATTCAGCTGACACTGCGCACAACGTGATACCCAGCCAAAGTTTCCGCGTTCTTTACAAGGCACCGGCTAATGAACCCAGATCAGTACAGCAGCGCACAATTGCAGCGGCTGAAGCTATCGCCATGCGACATCGCGACCCGATCCTTTGTCGGCAAAAACGCTTTGTTCGTGTGTTGTACTTACCATGGTCCAAGTCACCTCCTCCTACACATGCACCGTGTGCTGAACACACAACTACAACACCCCCCGAACTGACTAGCTCAAGTCATCCTATTGGTGACCTGAGCTAACTGTTCTTTGCTAGATAGCTAATGTCATCTCATTAGATTCCCTGCCCATTTGCACCATGCTCATTCAAATATATTAAATACCGTTCTCTTAACCTTTGCAATTGTATGACTTGAAAAGACCTTGCCGAAAACATGTTCGTCAACCCATCTGCGTTCTTAAAGTCTAGAAAATAAACTAGAAATCATAAAATGTCTCAAGAGTACTATGTGGCTACGCACATTTGCCATCCAAATTTCAAGGTGGACACTGAGATTCAGTTACCGATCTTCGAAAAAGTTCGTTGTGTTCGTGCAACTGGAAGCATCACACAATGACAGTGATATTGGAAGCATGTTCATGAAAAAATGAAGTTCGGCACTTTTAACTTTGGACAGTTTTGTAATTTAGGAATTTCCAAACGAATGTTATCTAAGCGACACTGCAAACGTTCAGTTAACCCTCTCAATATATCATCTAATGTTACTTATTTTAGTGGCAATCACTGCTGTGGATAAAAGACGCTTGGAATCAGGCGAAACAGACACAATGTGATTTTTCAAAACAATGTAACAACCGTGTGTTAGGTATTCAGTCATGCGATGGCGATTTTGTGTTCAACTAACAGGAAATCATCAATTATCCTACTGTTTATAATCGAGGTGCTGAACAATATTTTTTAGGAACCATTAGTTTGTGCTCCGACACATACTATCAGTAATTTAGTGTTCATATTTTACTCAGTAGACACTACATCGCCGTCTCTATGATGGCGTGTGACCGTTCTGTGGTATACGGTGTTTCACAAATATAAAACAGTGTGGCTACACTGGAACAGTATACACATAATCTAGTTTAACCTGTTTGGCTAGTCAGTGATGAATTACCACACCGTTACGAACGACATTTCAGTCACCACTAGCGTTACTCGTTTGTTGAAAAATTGAAGTATTCCCGGCATTGTGTGGTCAAAATTGATCTTAACTGACAATCTCCAGAGATTCACCAGTAATCAAGAATGACAGTGGAGGTTGTGGGTTGCGATTTGGAGGTCTACACCTCTGGTCTCTTATTTTATCATTTGTTTAGCCAAAGAATGAGAATATGCCGAAAATTGAGAGATTCATAGTTTTCCATAAACTCTGACGTTGGCAGTGATTGTAAACCGTTAATCAAAAGACTGACTCACCTGAGTGAAGGAATGTTTCGCAAAGGGAAAGAGACAAACTGACGGATCAAACAGAACACGTTTTATCGTTTGTAGAATCGTAACATATGGACACTGTATCCGGTTCTCAATGGCTAAAGGACAGAAATATTGAAAAATAGCATTTTCCTCTGGACCACCTAGAATTTATTTGGTACTACTGGAATGAATCCGATTTTGGCTGGGCTTTCTCTTGTGCGTTGATGGCCTTGCTTGTTTAGTGACCACCGACGTGATTGTAGTTTAATTTCATCATGATCTTTCTATTGTGGTACTCTGATGGAGCTTATAGTGAATATGAGTGAATTGCATGAGTAGGGATCTTAGAGTATCCCATCTGCTATCAAAACACTACGTTGAGTAGCATCAACGAAGTACTAGTTGAAGGGCTGGCTTAGTATACCTACTCGCTAAGATGGTCAGCAGCATCTTCGTAGTTCCCGATACAAAATTAGACAAACCAACATAAAAACATATCGTTGACATAAGTAGCTCCTCTGATATACGATAACCATTAACTCATAACCATGACCCCGTATTGTCCTCGAAATAAGTCAGCAATTCAGAAAATAAGGCCTGGCTGACACGAGAACCCGAAGCTAACAAAGCCGAAACAGTCCGTTTCCCCTGGAATCGAATGAAGAGTTTGAAATTGCATTCAAGAATAACGTACACTGATGCACAACCGAAGATTTTGCTCAAAAAAGTTAGATTATCCAAGAGCGCAATGAAACGGTTTCCTTGTTCTGTGTCCGGTGCTATGCAACCGTAGATTTTGAAGAGCACAAAAACTTTCCGCTCAGATAGACGAAACGTGCATTTGCCTCACCGCCATCATCACACTTCATCACGTGGAAACGAATTGGCACCAGTTCAACATTTATTTTTGTCACCCAAATGCGCGTACAACAATGGATAAGATAAAATGACTTTATCGGCTTATGGTGGGTGCCAGCCAACTGGACAACACTACATTCGAAATATCGTTTGTAATTGGTAGTCGTTTCTGATTCGAATAAAGACATGTTGTTGTTGTTGGGTAATGGCATGATTACGTCATGTTGGTATCGCACAGTTTAGAATTGATTGGCCACATTTGTTCGAAATAAATATGATAGCTGTTCATCAATGTATATGGAATGTTTTATTTCGTGTTTGGGAAATGATCTTTTATTACTTCCAAAGGTGAGTAGGATTGAGACACTGGTAACGAAATTTATCCACGAACTAGCAATATTTTTTGTTGTGCTTTTGAGTTAGCCCAATTACCATTTTCCTAAAAAAACATGCTTTAGTTATTTTCGTAAAAAAACTTACACGGACCGACGATTAAGGATAGGAGCAACCACTTGGTAATGCACTTTTGCACGTGCGCACTAGCATCTACCGTAATTGGTAGGTTCTTTATAAATAACAATGATATATATATATATATAACGTTATTATTTAGTGTTGTTATTTTGTAATGAAATCGAAACAGGCGGGCTTAAAACAGAGGATCATCCACGAGACATTAGAAACCGTTTACGACTGTTCTCTCTTAGCGGCCCACTAAAAGTGGGTCATCTAAAGATGAGCTTATCGGAAGGGAATACATTGATCAATGTGCGCGGTGACCTTTGGAAGGATACGCGAACGCAACCGAGTGAGTATTCAAGTCAAAAACAGGGCGTAATGAGGAGTTCGGTCATTTTAATGTACCGTGACCTGAACTTGATACAGGTCCTCATTGATTCAGTCGTTCAATTTTCAGTGAAATTCGAGCTAGGTTAGGCTTGCACCAGCTAACATTAGACAATAATATGGTTAAGCTTTAGAGAGATGTGACCCTTTGGTGCATAAACTGATCCTCAAACAGAGGTGCTTCCACCGTAATATCAAGTTCAAATCAACCGTAATTAAAACGAAAGACCATGCTACTGGATCACAATTGTAGGTAACGGATGAACTAGGATGATTACTTGTCGATATACCACTTAATCACCTATGGTGTTAATTCGCCAGGGAATCCGGACGTAATAATACCGCCTGCTCAAATGTGATTTGTCAGAAAATACGATGAAAGGTTTACAAAACATTCATCAGATTCAGGTTTGTCGGGGAACAGCTATCAAAGCGTGAGATTATGCACGCAATGGACACCACTTTTCTTAAATTCCAGAGACAAGCAAGAGAATAAGCTAATGAATATATCTGGAGTGTTCTCAAAGAACCAAAGATTGACGTTATTCAATCGGCGCGCTGGATACGCTGAAGTGAGATAGTCATTCCACATGAACCAAATAGACATGGGTAATGTGAAAATGCATTTGATGTGGGGTTAGCTTAAAGATGTATTGTATGGACCTCCAGCATTTTTCCCTTAAAGGAGGAATGAAGAATGTCCTATGAGTGCAAAACTCAGAATACCCCAGAAATTTAACAGTTTGTAGAAGCTACATTAAAAAGGATGTTACGTCAAGGAAGTGGCTCTCTAAACTTATCAATCACTTACTCACTTTGTAGGGATGTATCTCCAATGGATATCACTACCAGAATCCCATTGTGTTCAGCTAGCGAAAAACGCATGTTTCAATCTACATTCTGTTGCCAGAAACGTATAGCCAATTAGCGCTTAATCAATTCTTCAATAAGTTTGAAGCTAAATTCTTGCGTGGATTGGCATAGCCATAGGTCTCGTGGGCTGAGATATATATTGTTGTTGATTGTACTAGCTACGCCATAGTGAAACATTTCGGGGGGGTTACAGAAAGTGTTCAATAGAATGAAATTTAATAAAGGAAGCGCGAACCGAGAACACCAGGATCCCTGGGTTAAAGATGCTCCTTAAAACAAACCTGAGAATGCATCTGGGAATATAAAGGAAACCTACATGTAACCGCAACTCTACACCAACCACTTCGGGCGAAGTGCATCGTATTAGAAAGTATACACAGAAGAATGTGATGTACTAGGAAAGCATTTTTCGGCATGTATGCACCCCTGGAATGGGCATTCAACAAAGGGGCGTGAGACGATACCTTAGAAATCTAAAATAAAACACCAAGAGCAAACACACTGAGATTAGAGCGGATTAAGCACATGGAATCCTCGATGAATTCTGAAAGATAATAACAAGCAACGAGCCTAAAACTGCTTTTTGTGTCAACGAGAAGTTCAGAAGATAACGCTTAAGATTCTTTCGAAGATGAGCATCATAAACCAAGGACATACAAGTATTTATCAGGTATGCCATCCAGATTACAGTTTTGAAAAAGGGAGAATGCCACCACTAGCAATAACGAAGCTAAAAAGATGTGGTTAAAACGAAGAAGCACGAATGGAAATCGTGAAAAGAGCATAACTGAGCCACTTCAATCCAAATATTCAGGTCAAAACAATTCATCGACGCTTAAAACAGGCGTATTCCAGTCAGGATTAAGTACACACGTGAAGGCAAGTGCTGAAGTGTTAGAAATTAGTTCGGATCGAAGATATGTTAAACGTACTGACTTCAAAAAATCACGTGTCTGGCACAACTAAACACACAGCAGCAGAACGACGGAGAGTAGTCTGCGCACTGACGCGACAATGCATTGAGCACACCCAAAACACGCCACACAAAAGGACACGCGCATACATAGCTAGCACAAACATCCAGATAATATCTGGTTAACGGCTGATTTCGACAACACGCCTGTCAGGCAGCTGTAACAATCACAGTAAGGCTGCTCATGGAATCCGACAAGAATAGCTACGAAATCGTACCCAAATTTCCTGTTCTGAAACCAAACATTTTGTGCTTAATAGTTCCGTGTTCAAAAGCTTCAGACCGCCTTAAGTGATAATTTATTATCGTGTAACTTCCAAGCTATGATATGAAATCAAAGTTATCCTTAAGAACGAAACGCTCCACGAACCAGCAGAAATTCTTCAGCAATAACACTCTCTGGGTTTATTGCAACTGCGCCGCGTGAGCAATGAGAGACTGCCACATTGTCCAAGACCAGTCAGGTTCAGTCAAGATGTCGGGTTGGGATGAAACCAACAGCCTTCCCCTCGGTCACCAGTGAGCTATCTAGAGCTCAACGAGCGGAGCTTAATCCGGAATTACTAGTTGAGTGCTGTCTTTAACCTTTTGATGCTCGTATCAAGTTGGATAGGATAACTATGTAGGTGCGGGGAAACATGAAATCACAATTAGTAACACATATGTGGAGTGATTAACAGTGTGAGAGAGAAAAGGAATTCCCAGCTCGAATGGGTGTCGGGTCACGGCTCAGCAAATGTGTGAAAGCGAGAGTAGGCGCAGGAAAGTCGCTAGTTCTTCTTAGCTCTACTCAAGTTAGCCCGAAGACTGTATTACCACTGACCGAAAGTTTCTTTGGACACCTTTGATTCAGCCGGTTAGTTTCCTTGGACTATGGTACTCTGGAAAAGAGGGTGGTCGTGTTGCACTCTCGAATGAAACGTTTTCTGAACACGCGTAATTAAATGCCTTAGGGGACTCATTTTGTGACAAGCCACCGACCTGTGCCGGAAAAACCGACTCAATGGTCCACACGCACACATGGTTCCGAACACACGTCCATTTTCGTACAAACACTATAAGTATGACATTGTTAAAATGTGCATGTGTGTAAATATCGCGCACGAAGATACCATTGAAGTGTGCATCTCACTGTCCCAATTATTGACGTATCTTTCACTCAAACAATTGGTACATGTCAATGGTACATTCCGGAGTTCTTTCGGAGACCTATGCGAAAGCGTTTATTATACCCTCAATGGAATGATGACGCTCCGTTTGCTAGTGACGTTTGGTGTCTCACAGTGTTATATGGGGTATGATTATCCACTGGTTCAGTGTGTGGGGGTTTGAATTCGAACAGGTCACTTGTCTCGTGTAATCAGTATAAATCACCGATCAGAAAGCAATGTACAAGTAAAAATTATCAATAATTATGGGGCCTCAAAATAAAAATTGTTAGCCATCACATGAGACCTCTGTACTGAGTAATGTGCAATTCAGAATTTTGTTTGAAATGGAATGGTGCCATTTCCTTTTCTTGAAACTATGCCTTCCCAGCGCAGATAGTGTGATGACTGAGTGGAGCACCTTCGGTGCTCGAAATTTGAAACAAATTGCTTTTTGTTTCAACAGCTATCTGAAGAAGCGAGGTTGGATTCCACCTATTTTAACTCCTAGCAGCTGCCGCAGTGGATTGCGGGAATAGGACATTCAATGAACTGACACACTGTTATACTATACGAATCACCGAATTGGACTTAACTGAGTCTTGTTTTTAGATTCTGACAAATATTCAAATACTTTGATCTTGTATATGTCAGGAAGCTATGCATTTTTGTAAACAATATTCCCATAATGAATGAAATGTCATGTCCTCTTTATGTTGCCGCAAATAGTCCAAACGAAAGATATGTTCCGCTGCTGACGTGTGACGTCATACGCAACTGTGAAGAACAATTGACTGGCAAAAATACACACTATTTCGATCCCAAATGAATGTTAGACATGAATAGTCCCTAACTTGTATTGGCTTTCCTAACTTTCGACTGTTCTCTGCCGTGGTACTTGAAAATAAGATTCTGGTTTGCCACTTTGAATCTAAATCCACACTTTTTCTATAATTATCCTATGGAACCGGTACTGGGTTGCAGTACTTTGTAGAAAATCAGTGTTCACTACGGACAAGCCAATACTGTATCTGCTTGGTCATTCTTTAATCTAATTACGACGCTACTCAGTATTTACCGTTTGTCAGGATATTGGTGTTTTCAAACGATTCACCTCACTATCTTGGATTTCCTTGTACCATGTGGAACAATATTGTAATGATTCATTGCAGTCGGACATATGTGAAGTATACTGAGCATCAATGAGAGCTTGAACATGATTGGTTGTTTGGGGAATTCGAGGCTAAGAAGTGAATGTGCTCTACAATCCAAAAGCAACTTGGTCATGTATGCGCATGTTGTCGCAAAAATTAGATTAGGCAGAAGCCATAGATGAGACTAATCAGAGTGTGCGCCAAAGGGAACTATGCTCAGTGGTAATACAGTGTCCGGGCTAACTTGAGTAGACCCCAGAAGAATTAGCCACCGTCTTGGACCTAATCTCAATTCCACATCTGCTGACCAGTGATCCGGCATGCTTTTGAACTGGGGATTTTTGTCCATCTCCCACAGTCAATCACTTCACATATTTGTAACTGCTTCTGTTTTCACGATTATTTCCCCGCACCTACAGAGTTTCCCTATCTGACTTGGTACGAGCATCAGAAGGATAAAGACAACACTCTACTAGTATTTCCGAACTATGTCCCGCCCGCTGAGTTCTAGATAGCTCAGTGGTTGTACGCGAGGTGACCGTTGGGAGGGTGTTCGTTCGAGCCCAACCTGATATCTTGTGTGCGCCTGACTGGTCTTGGACAGTGTGGTAGTTTCTTAGCACTCGCGTTTCTTCGATGTAGCAAGGTCACTATACACTGTTTTGTACGTCATTAAGACGTCATTTTCGTATTGTAATGTGGATAACGATGCACGATAGAGTTAACATTTAAGCTGTGATAAGTTTGAATACGGAGCCACTGAGCGCGTAATGTTTGGTTTCAGAACAAGAGCATTAGGTACGATTTCGGAGCCAATCTTGTCGGATTCCACGAAGAGCTTTTCTCTATAATTGTTACAGCTTGATGACAGGCGTGTTGCCTTTAACCATATATCATCTGCATCTTTGTCATTTTGTGTGGCGTGTGTGGGATGTGCTCGATGCGTTGTTGCTCCAGTGTGCAGACTTCTGTCCGTCATTCTACTGCTGCGTGTAGTCATTTTTGCCAGACAGTAGGGGATTTAGCGCATCTCTGATCTAAGCTAATCTCTATCACTTCAGTGCTTGTTGCTTTCACGTGTGCATTTAACCATGACCGGAATATGCCTGTGTCTTGGATGGCTTGGTTTGAAGTGTATATGGATTGCAATAGCTGAGTTGTGCTAAGTCTACCACGCTGACTTGTGCCGTTCTTGATCCTCAACTTTGCTTTCCTCCGTCACTATCATATGTACATTCCTGGGTGTCTCTGTTGGAAATGACTTTGTAATCCCTTTTTTGCGTAAATCTTTACCCTTTACCCTTTACATCTTTGAACAATACGATTTACCCCGCTGTTTCCAATAGTCATGCAGTCTTTGTCGGGGGTACAATCTGCATGATGCAATTCTATTTCACTATGTTTGTCCTTGCCTTTCTGGGTGTTTGACTTACAAAGTTTTGTTTGATGTGTATTCTGTGGACACCATATATGCTGATTATCGTACTAAGTTCTTCGTGTGCATGTGAGTATACTTTCCAATCCAATTCACTTAGAATTTGATGACTTCGCACGTAAATTGTGGTTCGTTCTTGAATCTTGATTCAGCTATTACTCTAGATACTAAATTTTCTACTGAGGATTATCTTACGGCCCAGAAAATATTCGCTTCAATGCTGTGGAGCGAGCAAACTAAACTCCGTTTTACTAGAAGAATGATAAGACGTCTGAATTACATACACAAAACTGCATGCGGGCGTAGAAAGTATAAGGCCGTGCCCCGTCAATAAAATCAGTTTATGCTAAAATATCGAGGAATACTGTCCACATACTTCACCACCAACATTGGTCATCCCACAAAAGTTGTCACATCTCCTCTTCACCATTAAGTCAATGGTTTAGAGGAAGAATTATTCCACAAGAATAGTGAAGCTTCCTTCGAATAAGTCGTCACTCGAGGAACCGCGTTTTCTTGACTGAGGGTGATCGGTACGCTGCCTCGTCTGAGTTTAACCAATCACGGTTTTCGTCACCGCAGCTGGCAAAATAGTTAGGTGTTTAACTATTGTCTGGAAGGTTGCGGGTTCGCAATTTTCTGGGTTTCGGTAGATGCGTAACAAGGATGTCCAATGCTTCTTGAATTTCAGCGTAGATTGACTCGCAGTCGCAAGCCGAATTCTCCATTGACACTTATCAAATTTCATCATCATCAATTTGAGTATGTACGTTGACGCATCTAGCCTTTATCCTCCCAATTATTTAGTCAGTCTAATGGCGATTGAGAATTTTGCTGTCAAGAATGCGGCTTGAGAGGAACGGGTGGTATCCTGCACTTTTATCGTGTTGTACACAGGTACTGAGCACTAAACACAGGATGATCCTTTAAGGAATAAAATTCGAATAAAATTCAGCTCATCCGTCCGATTCCGAATGCTGTTGCCAACACTGGGCAGTTTCCAGTAAAAAGTACTTCAGTGGAAATTCACAAACTTTGTGATCACGTCTTGATCAGGGGCATGAATAATATCTGGCATGATGTGTTTTTCCACTGCTCTTAAGGTCTGCATTTACAAGATCAAGTCCGATTAAACCGAATCAGATAATCAGAAGGACGTCAAACAGATCACCAGAAATGTTCAGGTGTTTACCGTAGTTCGCTGTTCAGAAAACCCCAGCATACGGAACTCCGTAGCCTCGCCCCAAAACCAAGTCCATCCCCTATTTTTTAGTAATCTCCTTCTTGGTCTTGCCCATATCTAAGATTGCAAGATTCTGTCTTAACCAGCGCATGGGAACAGTGGTTATTTAATTTTATATTTGTGATGTTTGCTATCGCAGAAAAGCTGGCTACGTAAAATCCAAGAAATCACGCTAACCTAAGAAGTTTAACTTTACTATGACTGATAGTTTGTTCGGCGGTTGACGGATGTATGGATACCCTTTTAGCACACGTATATTCCATAGATAGCTAACGAGCTGAAATAAAAATTTAAAATGTATAATGAATATTATAATAATTGCGATATGATTGCGTATTCATTGTATCCGAATTGGGAATTATTCGCCATGTTCCAGAAGTGGATAATTGTAGCTGAAGGCTGGTACCGCCAAATTTGTCGGCCTGGCTTACATGCTGCGGAATTAGTTTCAGAATACACGTTGCGCTGCACAGTTTTTCCCCATATGCTGTTGAACGTGTATAGTGAGAGTTTACGTCCAAGTAGTTTTCTGCATTTCTCCGAACACTCGGTGACAAATGTAAAATTAGTTACTAATCCTTCTATTGTGGACTAGAAAATGTGGACGATGCAACTGGCGTGGGCATATCAGTGGTTGAACCGGTTGAAGGTTCTCTGTTCTACTGACCTAGCAACTGGCGACAAACGCATCCTTGCCCGTCGAGAAGGCACGTCACTGCTAATAAAAAACAACAGTAGAAAGTTACCCCGCTAGTTATTGATTACCGCCGAAATTCTGTCAACTATATTCCTGTGTATTTATCATCCTTAATGGAAACAACAAAGCAGAGATTTTTAAATTCTATTATCTGATCTTAACCTGTCCACTAAAACGATACTAAACTTAGGCGCTTCTCCCTCGTACCTTGACATACACACATGCGCACACGACCGCACTGGAATACAGGTCCACTTACGCGGGCAAACAAACGTGTGTGCTCTAAGTGCATAAGGGTAGCATATGTCCCTTTTCGCTCCAGGTTTAGAACTATACTGGAAAAATCGTTCGGGTGTGTGGTGTACTATGCCTACCGGATCCTTCTTATCCCAGGGCATGTCTGGCAATCACTCCTGACGTAACGTTTTTGCTTTTTGGCTTAAATCTGACTGACCCAACCATTCTATGGTTCAGAGCGGGCCCAATTTTAAAGAGATTTTGCCCACACTATGAACCAGTATGCCTGTATCATAACGAATGCGACTGAAGCCTATTGTCTAACGGATTTTCACTCGAGTGTGAAGTCAGGCATTGTCCTCAGGTCGGCTGACTGTAGGCAGGACACGCACAATTTTCCATTCTGCGACATGTGAGGACAGGTGTGAACTTCCTGGAATAATGTTCCTTTGCTGCGACTCTAAAAAGCCGACGTTGCCGACATTTTGATATTCACCGTGTTTACATTCGTTGATTCAGTAAGGTGTTAAGGTGATGCCTTAAGAAAAGAGAAGTATACTCGAAGTTCCCTTGTCAAGGTTTGTTATCAATGGAGTCTGTGAACGATGATTCATTGGAAAGAAAACAGAATAACCTCCCATCGACACAGAATGCTAGTTCGCGCAGTTTCAAGAGAGGCACGTCACTTCTTCATCAACGACATTTGAATATACTTCGGCGACCATCGGCTAGAAACTCAAAAGAAGATAAGACGATGGTCGTGCAATCTGTGGCTTCATCGGATGATGTACATCTGAATGTGAATGAAAATACTGGACCAACTGTCGAATCCAAATCACGCCTTCTAACCAGACGTAAGCAGTACTCTGAAAATCGTGTCCCGACGATTTCACTGGATGATCCTGGAGTAAGCACATCTTCCCCAAATATCGCAAGTAGTCTCCTATCTCCACCAAGTATACAACAATCTCAACATAGATATATATCGTCCACTACATTGGGACTTCATCCAGGATGTTGCACCATATCACCATTAGCCATTCCCCGTCTGGATGTTAGTATGTCACAGAGAGCTCTTTCTGCCTCGCCTTCCAAGGATTCATCGGCGGGAAAACTTATATCATATGAACGTAATGTTTTCTCTGCCTGTTCCATGGACTCTGTTGGGCTCAAGAATAATGATTCATTTAGATCTAATCAGTTGTCAGACTATACCAATCCACCTCATTTGTCCACTCCATCTTCCACTCAAAGCCCTCCTGGAACATCACCATCACAGCTCAGATCCACGTTACCATCGCGACTCATGGCCACATCGCCAGGTAGTCCACCAAACTCGGGAATTTCGGCAATCAGTCTCGTGCAGCAGCGGTCTACAGAATCACATGAATCATCCATCAGCATGCCAAGCGCCACCAGTTCTGGAAGTAGCGGTATTCCGCATAGCAGAGCACGCATTTCTCGGCTTGCATTTCACGACAGACTGATAAATAGGAGTCACGAAAACACACCAAATACGGGGTCATCACGATCTCCCCATAGTGAACCCCAGACCGTACACAGGCGATCAAGTTATGAGGTAAGATTATGTTTGCCATTTTTTGGTTAGTTATTTGATTCACCTGAAGATAGGCACAGGATTTCCAAACAATTCTGTTAGAATTTGTGTGAGGCCCCGGGGTACTTACGTTAACCAGTGCTTTTTGGTACATAAAGTGCTCATGTGTGAGTATATATTAACCCGATACCTGTAAAAGTAATAACTCAGCCTAAGTGAGTTTGGGATTGAAACAAGCAAAATTTGGTGAAAAAATATAACTTATGGGCAAAGAAACCGAAATTTCGTTCTGTTTTACTCCCGAGAATTTATTAACCGGACCAAATGCACGCACAAACCAGTTTTGCAAACTTGGGACTAGTTTCCGTGATATTCGAAAATGAACCTTAGGTGATCCTATGGAAAACTAACGGAACTAATTGTTATATCAAATTATGCAATTTATGTAATTTATGTAATTTATGTGCTGCTTTTCAAGATTGCTGATCCGAGAAGCCCGATATATTATGTTACAAAGCCAAAACCACGTTTGCTTGGTTGCGCACAGTTGAAAATCTCTGCATGAGCCCAAACAATACTTGATTTCCGCCCATCATATTTGTTTTGATTACACTGCAAAACTCGCTAATACATGTAAAGCATGATGAGAAGCGTGCATGGCTTGAATGAAACCAGGTGAGTGTTAGAATATGTAAGGATATAAAGTAATTCTATACGAAAGAATGCCGCCAGAAAGGTCGAATCTCATGTGAAAAAAATTCCACCACGATCAAATCTGAATTACCGAAAATTCCAACATTTCATGGACCATCCCGAAATCCTGAATTACCAACTTGGTCTAAAAATTACGACGAAGCATAAAAAACTCACAACTGGCTTCCTGATATCGAGTCAGAGTGTAGGCATCAGAATAACTGAGAGATTCGTCCAGAATCCTAATCCGTGTGGTTTCAATAGGCCCTAAGAAAAGGCATGTAATCTCAGGTTTAAAAATTTAGACGTTATTGTTCTTTTAAGAAATCTGTCAAATATTGTAGTGGAATCCAAAATCCATCACTTTCGGAAATACGTGTACACTCGAAACGGCATCTTCAAAGACATTTTTTTTATCTACTTCTCTCGTTAGACAGCCACTAATTTAGTTGCCCAAGTGGAATTGATCGGAGAAATTTAATACCATCTAGCGAAATACACTCATGTTTAACCCAGCTGATTCTCTCGTTAATCTCCATTTAATAACATCTACCCTAATATCTTTTTTCGATCATTTTTGTACACCCTGTGAATGTTGTCCTACAAAAAAGGGTGAACTATCTAAATCCAAAAATAAGCCTTAAGCTTAGCATTTCCCTTCAAAAACTCGCGTCAAGTGCATTTTTCACTTTGCGTTTAATAAAGGACCACCAATCAGATGGCCGTATTCTGAAAAAGAGTTGTCAAGGCTTCATTATTCATTTTATACTATGCAATTAGTCAACAAGGAATGATAAGTGATTTTTGCTAAGTTTCATGTCGAAGGTCCCGTGTATGTAATCCATTGTTTATCACCTTAAAGAGCTTTGAACGGATTATATTGCGGAGCGCTTTAATGACAAAAGGAATTTCAACTTAGTATACGTATTTTCGAGACCAGCGCCCGTGGGCTTGGATAAAAATCATGGACACTAACCCATTTGACAGCAGATTAGGTCCAAACAATGGACAATTTAAAGCAGAGGAATTCATCGTCAATAAGCATTTAACTGCGTAGAAGCAAAAACACACAGCATCGCAAAGAAACCGTATTTCCTAGGTGAACTACAACTGGCTGCACTGGACAACATGGTTTTGGCATAACAGGAGGAAAATGTTTTTTTTAACTCGAGGTAACAGGTCAGGCAGTGGAGCACAACATTCAGATTGACACATCATTTTTTCTGAAGAGATTTTTGTCCAGTCTAATGTCTGAGCTATCCTTTACAGAGCTGCAAACTACTATTGCCCATCAGTACAAACACTGGAAGGTTGAGGATTCATCATGTAGTTTTGATCTTTTGACGTACATCCTCGCCCAAACGAACAAAGTTTGTTTTCTTCACTTCCGATCTTGAATGTGTTTGGTGAATAGCTGCATCCCGCAAAGTGTTCGTGATCTCATAGGTTTCATCAGATTTTTTTTCTATAAATCTTCTGCGCTTCTTAGGTTCTTTTTGTTATCGCATTCTCTTTATCCTGGCACAGTTCTCTCCAGTTTGATAGACCGCTTTGTGGGCAGCGTATTAGAAAGTTAAATACTTTCAAGCAAAATGTATGACACATCTGTTTCCGACAATCCACACACATGTATGGTGCTACAATCTACATTAATTTGAAACAACACGTTTCTACTTATGCAGTGCGGAGGCAGTTTAGATTTCCCTCAAGTTTTTCATGGCCTGAAGGCTTTGGTTATTTATTAAAACGGATTTTCGCTAGACGATTATACTAGTTTCAACGTCCCTCATCCAGCAAGCTGCCTAATACAAGTTCTATTAACCAACTTTCAAGTTCCCGGAACTCCAAACGGTGTTGATCTATCCATATCTATTTTCCCAACATCCCCATAATGAGTGAACATAGGAGTATGATTCATTTGATCTTTATGTCCAGGTTTTGGTGCTAATTCCTGTTATCAAGCTACAGTAGAAACGTTACGATTTAGATTAGCCGAAAGTTTGAACTGGAAAGCATAGGCATTCCAGTTAACATTGTAATGTGAAGAAGTGGTTAGACAAATTCCGGAATAAAAATTATGCAGCTACTGTAAGCAGGCAGATGTTACTGGACAGAGAAAGCACCGAGACACCTGTAGTTCTGCAGTTCTACTCTTGCCATGGATAATCGCATAGGGCTTTGGGGAAGATTTTTCGCAGAAACTTGCTGGAAAATAAAGAGAAGCATCCAAAAATTGTAACTCCACCGAATATAATTATATTTGTACCCAACGTTTCGAATGTTGCACCTTGTAAACCTATTTAGTTCACATGCAGATTAGTGCATCGTTTCTAGATAATTCACTATCCAGATAATGAATTTTCTGCAAAAGTCCACGTAGTGAATCGAGCATGGATATAGACGCTTTAGAGGTCACCAGACAATCTAATATGAAGAAAAAATGAAAAGTTTTTGTTACTCAACTGCTATCATCTAACGTGTTTATATAGTTCTATTTACCTCTAAATGAATCGCGGATCGAGTGAGCTATACCAGCGCACCGACAGACAGTGGGTGCGTTTATTTTCATTCTAGTTTCACTGGAATTGGAAAACAACATCCTTCACCATCACGCGAATACTATAAAATAATAATTTGTTAATTCAGGTGCACATCGAAGGCCCAGAGTAGGAAAGAAATAGTGACAGCTTGACTACAAAACGTCAACAACTTCGTTCTCAAGAATAACTTTAGAAAAGCGCCATAAAAGGAGATCCAATGGACGTTACAAAATGAGGAAAGAATCAAAGCATTATGTATATTTTTGGCGTGAATTAGAGTACAAAACTTCCAGTGACGTTTTCGAACTTTTTAATGCTTAAGAGGCTATAATGGCTTGTTTCTGAAATGTTCAAAAGATTTTTAAGCTATAGGTTCAGGCAATCCATTAAAGGTTAAAAGAAATCGCTATTTACTTCGTACAGTTGATCCTTATAGCGCTGGATGGTGAAAACTATTGTTCTACTTTGTTAATGGCGAATAAGTGCGGCGTTTGTTTGAATAGCAGCTTTCGGTTAGCAACATGTGGGCCGATACACATTGACTCACCTCTTGGTATTTTGTGAAAATGTCATTCTGAAGAGTAGTAGAGAATGTCAGAATCTCTGAGAGCCAGTATTTTATTTACCGGAACCACTGGTCTCCACAAAGCAGTGGCAAATCATGCGTTTTAACCTCGGACATTAAAGAAGTGTTTTATTTCGATTAAACTTGGTGCCTCGTGAAAAGTTGGTTCTTCATTAGGACATTACGCCGATTTAAAACCATCGATCGGAAACTGGTTTTGCATATGCTCAGGGTTTTACTAGTATTCTTTTGCATAAAGAAACAATTTAAGTCATGCGCGCGTCCTTGAAATAAGCCCATATGGCGTTACCCGCCGGTCATATTTCTGCGTAAATCTCTTTCCCAGGAATAGACCAATACACCCCATTCCAGTATCGTCCGTTTTATATGATTTTCTCTCAGGATGAAATAGCTTACTAATCTGCACATTTACTTTCATGCCAACATGGAAATCCAAAGTCAAATACTCTGAAGAAGATCGGTTCGGAGAACGTTTAGAAACTCCTAAATTAGCTGTCGTTCTCCAGTTATAACACCTGATGAGAAGGATCAAATCAACCTTTCCTGAGTGTTTTTCGTGGTAGAGTCAAAAGCCAAAACCAAAAAAATACAAAACAAGTCTCTTTTGTTCCGCACCGTTTAAAATGCACCTCACTTGGAATCTATGACCCATGCTCCATCCGCAACAAGGAGAAACGTTACAACATCGGAATGCGTAGACCCAATGCAGCCACTAGCTCGTATATACATATGATTTTCTAATTTTCCAAAGAAGTTGTGTACTAGGCAAATTTACAGTCGGTACCTGGTGCTCACTCCAAGACTAAAGTTTGCTTCGGGGAAGTTGCGAGCGCCAGAAAAGGTGGAAGACATTCCGTCGTTTGTGCCGGGAGCATCTGCTGAAATATGTTTCATAAAGTGGTCGAGGGGAAAGGCTGAAGGCTGGTACAGCAGATTCAGATAATAAATAATACTGCGAAATCACACTTTTTAAAAACTCGAAATATATTGCATCCGAGAACAAATTCTCTCCATTACCCAGGAATAAGAGGGAGGCTCACACGGTAATTCAATAATAATCAACTCAAACCACTCGTTGTCAAAGTAACTAGCTCTATTCCCATCGTTCAGCTGCAGCATTATTCCGGTGCCTAACTGCCATGCCACGACAGCTGGGATACTGTCAAGTTGCCCTAGACTATACAGGAAAAGTCGAGAGGTAGAAGTCGGGCTCGAACCATAGACCTTTCGGTCAGTAAATTCGCACTCTAACCAATTGGGCCATCTGTCCTCCCTCTGTGATTTCTGCACCCAATTAGTATTGTCACTGTAAATAAACGATAGAAACATCACTTTCCAAGAAATTGAAGCTTGCCCCTGAGGTAATCTTGAAGATTGACTGATATTTACATCTGCAAAACCTTAAGTCTGAAAAAAGGTGTGTCGGAAGACTGACAAAAACTCCTCAACATGATTCTCAAAGTGATGAAACCAGCCTGCGTATGCTGCAAGTTATCTTGTGGCTGCTAAAATAAAGTATCTCACAGAACACAGATATCTCATGACTACTATGATCATCGTCTTTGACAGGAACGAACCATATATATACATATATACATATATATATCTGCAGTTGTCACGTTCCCGCTTTAAGGGAACATACTTCCAAGATGTGATGACAGGTACATCTTAGACGGCAATACAGTTTTGCTTATGCCTGTTTAGTCATCTCTGAAACAGTGCTCCTAAAAAGCAACGGAAATTTCTATTGGATCATTTGGCTGCGCATATCTTTGCACACGCACCCTTGCCACCTACTGCCCGAATGCCTATTACTAGATCAATGAACAGCCTTAAAGTATACGCTAATTATATAAATCTGCTTTAGGCTTGAAATCGATCGGATCTATTCTCAGCTGATCAGCGCAAATTATTGATTCATAACGTCTTCTTTTGGAGCTTTTTGGTTTCAGAATATAGACATTTATTGACACAACATTGTAGGGGAATTAGGTGAACTAGCAATTTGCCTTGAGGACGCACAGGCTGTTTGAAAGTAAAATGATAACAGGACCAAACTGGATGGGGTAGTGAAACAAATCCAGAACAACCTATGGCACTTTAGCACTATATCTTCTAAAATTTGTATGTAATGCGCAATTGTGTTAAGATATTTCAGACAGTTCTTTTATGCTCGTAATACAATGGATGATTTGAGCACTCAAAAATTGCTATTCGCCCCTGATGAAAGGAGCAGTCTGAATATCGGTCTGGTAGGTCTCTAGAATATAGCTGCCAGTATGGGCAAGTTGGAATGAGCACGATCGATGAGTATTGGAAATCGGGCAGCATTTGGATGGCAAATTGAAGTACATTGCACTGAAATGAAGTAAATATAAAAACTGTCATCTTCGAACGACTCACCGGGGCAGTCATAAGCTCACCATGATTTTTTCATGTACATTTTGCATTTGCTGGACCGCCCGTAAAATATGGTTTGCAGACATTTCCGCGGGATTTATGTGCCTGCATTCTCTAAAGTGCCAGGTGATGGTTAAGTTGATAATCAACATGCTTCGTTTCACACTTCACCGAGAAACGTGTTCAGATATACCAAATAACGGGGGCCTGATTGTGTTACATACATATTTAGATCAGCATGTCTAAATAAACTGGTAAGATGCATCCAGAGAATGTTAGCTCGAATTCCACGGTTGTTTAGAATGAGGAAAAAAGTGCCCTTCAACGGCACACAAACACTGTTGAGCTCAAATAGAAAACCGAGTCCATACCCTCACTAACTTGTTTTGCGAGTTATTGAAATCATGAAAGTTGATGCTATACTCTTACATCTCCCTGTAAACACCGACATTTACACAGCCGTCTCCAAAATCGTACGGCAGTTGAGCTGGCGTCGCATCTTCATGAGTATTAAATAAAGGTGTTTGTATGATGGCTTTAGTTTGTAGCAGAATACCCTACAAGCGTTCACTTCTGCGTCTAGCAGATTCCGATTTATAGGGAGGAGGCTTTTCACAAGTAATATATAATGATGCGATATATTGATTCAAGTAAAAGATGTCTTTATCTTAATAGCTTCAATGTATAGCAATTTCGGATACATCCGGGAAAGTTAAACGTCATAACATGAATTTGCTTCTTCTGTGAGCAGCAGAATAGGCAAGCATAGTTCCAAAATTTTGTACTTGGGGCTTTTGTTCAGTGGAATAATATTGTTTGCTCGGAAAGTCCAACTTGCGAAGATTGACCCAGAGTGCTTCTCGTCTAGCCAAGTTAAAACTCATCGGGAATCCAACGGGGACATACACAGACCTAACATGTATTCGACCGATTTTTAGTGTTCCCATTGTTTGTTCTCCGTCTCTACCTAATCTTAAGGCTTTACTTGGGTGGACCTGCACCAAAATGATTCGTCGGTTGTCAGACAACACCCTGCAAGTATCGCAAAATTGGCTGTTTATCTTTCTTTTTTTCTAAATGAGCTTGCCATTGTAAATTTCCGGTAGAGCTTTTGGATGTTTTTGGCCGCCAACTCACATCCAACACAGATTAAGCAATTCTACAGGCATTCCGTTATTTTTAGGGCGATGAAGTTCCCTATCGTACGCATTGGGGTTTGTTTTTTAGTCTATACAATCCAAATTGGTACATCATTGGCTTTTAGTTGATTTGCTTCTGACCTACACTTAGCAGTGATTCTAGCCCTGTGGAAGTGTCAGTACTTCAGCTATTCAAATCTGGTGAAATGTGTTTTCTGCGGATCGGAAGGTCAAAAGTAAGTTTGAAACAGTTTTATCATGACAACACGGACATAACAATCTTAATGAGAACTTCTAAAATCTGATGTACTCATGTTCATCAAATACATCATTTCTACGTATTTAAGTGAAGTACTATGTGCAACGTAATAACAGTAAGGTATTTTTTATAGTGTACTGATGAACAAAATGTTATATTACAGCAGTTTATGCTTTGTGATAGTTATTTGGTAGGATACTCCATTAAAATGACTTTAGAGTCAAACTTTCGGCACAATTAGTTTATTTAGGAAGCAATGAAAGTAGAAATTCGGGCATATATTAGCAGCACACCCCAATAATCGTCCTGAACCTTGGCCAATATGATCATTTTTCTATCAGTTTTTGAATGCTTTCTTTTTGCTTAAGATGATGAAGACATTTGGTTGCACATGAATTGGTTGCAGGCACCATTTTTATGGGTAAAGTAGAATTTGAACAATTAGTCTGCTTAGATGAATATATCTGGGCAAGTTCAATTTATCTTGGCAAAATATACATTCAAGATTTTATATTTCGCCAGCATTTCTGATACGTTTAGATGCACTATTTCCCGCAAAAAATAATTTCAAGAACTGCTGGACTGATTCGTCGGTATTTGAAGTAGTCCTTTTATCAGATATAAAAGCGTTGATCGTCAGTGTTTTCTTTCCCAAAGTAAGCGAGAAATTAATTGTTTACACTACTTACTGGTGAGCTTACTGAGTGGACTGAACAAGGTCCTTTTTGTCCTCGTTTTACTTAAACAACGGTTTCTTCAAACTGACTTCGAAATAACCCTTATTCCACAATACGAAAGAAACGTTCACCCTTTAGACCGGTTTAAATATTTTGTAACCGGTAAACTGGCTTGGAAAGGAATATTGGTGCGCAGGGGCTTTATAGTCCAAGGCAGCGTTGTTTGAATCTAGCACACCTTCAGATACCGCTAACGTAGAGAGGAACGTCTTAGTTCAACAGATCTCTTTGGGATATACCTTTTCTGAAAACTTTTCTGGGTAAACGGTTAGATAGTCAAACAAGATATTCGGCGCACTCTGAGTTTGTTTGTGTATCCACCCCTAACCAAGGCTTTCGCAATTATTATTTGCGTATATCCAAACATGCGTCCATGGGCAGTTATCAAATCCATGATTTGTACATAGAGATAAAAGTCCATTCGTTACCTGTTCAAAAAAAATAATAAAGGTA